TAAATATATAAAAAATTCATATATAAATATATAAAAAAAATATGTATATTTTAATATATACATATATATATACACATATATATATATATATATATAGATATACATATATATATATAAATTCAAGTATAGAAATCGTTTATTTTTACATATTTATCTGTATACACTCTATATAATATATATTTATTAATATACATAGTAATTATATATTATATACAATAATATTTGTATATATTTTATAATTATATTATTATTTAATATTTATATTTAAATGAAAACGAATACACTTAAATGTATTTAATTTAAATATAAATATTTAATATAAAATGTATATGAAACATTTCTGCTAAATGCATAAACGTTCAACATATTATATATACTATATATATATATATATATATATGAATAAGAAATTTATTTATCTAACTATGTATAGAATTAGCTGCACACACACACACACACACCCTTAAATGTCAAAGTTTATGTGCCAAAATGCACACAACTGTAGAGACAATCCACAGTGCAAAACATCATAACATCACTTTTAGTCTGGAAGGACAAATGACTTCATTGTAAGCTTGTTGTGTCACTGCTGGTTACACAGCGTAACGGGCATCCCATATGAAAGAGCTGCCGAAGCGTTTCTGTTCCTACAGGGAGAGAGTTTGTATCTGGGACTGTCACAGCTTACAGCTCTGAATTTACAACACCTCCTCTAGCTATCATTCCCACATCTATCCCTCCCAACAGACCTAAAGAGAGCCGCGCGCGCGTGTGTGTGTGCGTGTGGAGGTGATGCATTAGAGCGTAATGGGAAGGTAAAGTCTCTCTCTTTCTCTCTCTGATTCCAGATCTCTCTGATACCTCCAGCCATTCATCACACACTCCTCTGAGCCTGAAGCAAGAAAGAGGGAGGAAAAAAAAATCAATGCAGTCAGAACTGCAAACAGGCCATAAAAACACAGAGAGGAAGGTACGAGCTGCAGTGCAATTGATTTCTTTAAGTAGAATAACACCTTAAACACACACTCACACTCACTAACACCCACACACACTCACTAATTATAGTTATTTTTACATTTTTAATAATATAATAAAGCAGTGTCCTGCAGTGAGGCAAGTCATTCTAATTCTAAAACTAATTTAACATTGTTTGGAATTCTCATATAATCACTATACTTGTACTTTTATAATAATTGATACACTTTCTATCAATTATAAACATACTAATATAAATCATAATAATCATATATATTATATATATATATATATATATATAATTGATATATATATATATATATATATATATATATATATATATATATATATATATAAATGTTCAAATTCAAACTATTTTAAAATAGTATAGATTAAAATAGAAAATAGTAAACTAAATAAAATAAAATAAAATAATAATATAATATAATATACACAATTTGCAATTACATTTTTGATTATATTAAAGGAATAAATAACCAGAGTTTCACTGGTGGTCTCGTTTGGGTTTTGGAACATTCGTTGTAAGATGAGTCAGAACATTCGTCGGACATTGCATTATATAAACAGATAATTGGATAAAGCTGATGAGTGGGTTAGCCACAACGGAAGCCAGTACAATTCCACAGCCAATACACACTAATGAGCAATTACAATACTTAATAATGCACCAAATCTACAATATCACCAACATTTAGGTGCGTCACTGCATTCACAAACAACAGCAGCACAGCGGTGGCGACTTCTGTCTGTGCAAACACTCCCGTTTTCTGTAAAAATCCACTTTCTTTCTCACTTTCTAGTATAAATGAGATAAGGCCGAGAATTACAACATCTGGCAGCGTTAGCTTCCTCAGACGCACGCGCATGAGCACGGCAGCCACACGCCTCGTATCTTCCAGAGCATCTCAGCGGCCCACAGCAGGGAAGAAGAGCTTTGCATTTTCTGGCAGAAGCATCTGTTCCTAGAGCTGGACGCCTGGAGCCAGACCATCAGCGGATCATCAGACCAGAGAAGCACTTTTAAAGCGGTTTCAACACAGACCGAGTAAACACAGTCATGTTCTTGACCATTTTTACTCTTACAATCAAACATGCCATGTTTAAATGACTAAATATGACTTATATTTTCATGTTTATCTGTGTGAAAGAACAAAGCAAGTCATTTTTGCAGTTCAGTTTCATTAAATGACAATCTGAAATCTTATATATTTATGTGTGTGTGTGTGTGTGTGTGTGTGTGTGTTATTTATGCTTGCAACAAGTTATGTAGAAAACATTCTATACATAATTATATATTTCAATTTACATATATACATTCAAACAATAACATTTATATTTTATCTTTTGCATTTTTGCTTCAAGTAAATATATACATACATTATTGTTATTTATGCTTCCAACAAATTACATTTAAAAATATCTATATATAATCATTTACATTATTTATTTATTTTAAATTATTATTATTTTATAATTTAATAAAATAATAATAATTATTATATATTATTTATTATATATAAAAATGTACAGAAAACTTTAACAAACACACACAAATAATATTCATATTTAAATTTATATTTTATGTTTTACAATTTTGCTTCTCAAGTCAATGTATCTTTATGGAAGTTATATTTCTCAGCAGGATTCATGGGAAATAGTGAAGAAATCTCTCTAAACTCTAAACTAAGCTTCACTCATATTCACAGGCATTTGTATTTCATCAGCTTTAAACAAACCTGTTGTGCTGCTCCAGAGAGTTTAGAGCAGAACGCAAATGTAGAGATAAATCCATCATAATATCAGAAACGTCCAGATGCATGTCATCTAATTACTGTCCTGTCAGTGTCAAAGAGGGCTGAGCAATATCTCACAGCCATAATGCATTGCCAATACAAAAAATACCAATAAAAACATCTCATAAAATCAAAATATATGATGCAGTAAAAGGCAAAACACAGTAAAAAATGCATAATTTGTTTGGCTCAAGTTCTCAGATTCAGAGACAACAGATAAAAAACCACTGCAAATTCAATCAAATAAACGCTGAAGCCATTTTTCGGTTTTTAAATGAAAAATGAAAGCAAAATGGTTCAGTTTAAGAGGTAGTTCAGTAGCTTCAGCAGCTTTCAGAGAAACAACATCATTAACGCGTAACGTCTACAATCAGATCACATTACAATGAGCCTGTGTGTGTGTGTGTGTATGTATATATATATATATATATATATATATAGATATATATATATTTTTTTTGTTATGGTGACCTATAAGGGACCCTAAACTGACTTAATTTGGCTGTATTCATATCTAACCAGATATTCTTCCATTTAAGCATCTGATTTGTTGATCTCACATACTGATAAACTACTGAAATATTCCTGACTCAGCCTGATCCAGATACAAACTGATTCCTGCTCCACTAGAGAGAAAACTAACCCTGGCCAAAGCGCTAAATGCAAGTAAAGAGTCACATCTGTTGCATAAACACAGAACTGAACTGTAACCAGCTATTATACGACGACTTCAAACGCAGCTCATCCAATCAGAACTATCTCCATTATACATCAGTATTATAACACAGCTTCAGCTACGTGGCTGATTTTAATCACAACAATAAAGCGTCTTGAATCGTGAATCATAAGAGAGATCAGTGTGAACAATCACAGGATGCCTTTGTGGTCTTGATCTCATAAGCGACTAACTTTCATCCTCCTCCCATTTCTTTCTCCTCCCATCGCTTCATTCCCTCACTTTATGAGCTTTGGCACCTCAACCATTGATCGCTGAGAGACGAATACAGCTCCACCCTTACAGAAACACACAGAGAAACAGATCTCTGGCTGTTTATTCTGTTACTCTCCACTGCGTTTTGTCAGACGATCATCTCTCAGGATGAAGGAAAGTAATAGCAGTGATCTACTGGTGTTCAGCGCACTGGAACGCTTCCATTTCATTGTGTTGGAGACGCAGTGTCAGGGGTCTGCAGACACTCAGGATTTGTGATGGAAGATCACAGACGTGAAGATCAAACGTGTACAGACACAGCCGGACCCTCACACACATCTAACGACCCGCAAACGCCCTCAAAACATCTCAGATCACAATATATTACACTGCAAAGCTCATCGTGAAACCCAAAGTCTCCTTTAGCTTGCAGATCCTTCTATACTATCACGCACTTTCTTGTGTGTAGTCCATATATATGTGAATTTTTCCCGTTCGTTGTAGTACTAGTATTTATTTATTACCCCTGACTAATTTACACATACTAGTCAAATGTTTGGAATACTTAAGAAAAAAGTTTCTTCTGCTCACCAAGGCTGCATTTATTTGATCAAAAATACAGTAAAAATTGTGAAATATTATTACGATTAAAACATTTTTTTTAATGTGAATATATTGTAAAATGTAATTTATTTCTATGATGCAAAGCTGAATTTTCATCAATTTTCAGTGTCACATGATCCTCCAGAAATCATTCTAATGCGCTATCAAATTTTAACACACACACACACACACACACACACACACACACACATTCATTCTCATACACACACACACACACACACACCTGCTTTTACTTTAAACCCACAAAAACACATTTATGACTTTAAAAGTTTCCTTAAAGTGTTTTAAATAGTGCACTTTAAATAGTGCGTTACTAACTAACTATTATGGTATTGACGAATGCAGCAACAAATGTTGACAAAATAAACAAAGCACTTATTTGTGTAAATAAAAGCAGGATATTAAAATGAGCACTAATGTAAAGCGCGAGCGCAAACATTAAACGAATGCATTACAGTATGCAGGATTTTATGAATGAAATAAATGCATATGAGTGTAGCCATGTGTAGAATCTCCCGAGGCAAGCAGAATGAATCGTCTGAATCATCCAAACATCAATCAATGATCTCGCTTGAATCCCGCAGGATGGAGACGAACTCTTCCACTATCCACAACCCAGAACAGAACCATCCCGAAGCAGCTGAAAAGGCTCTTACCGGTTAAATCCCGCCGGAGGAGGAGTGCTATTATCCGCGGCGCTGCTGAAGTATGGTGCGCTCTCTCATGATCTCCCAGCTCCAGTGTCACATTACATCCAGCTCATTCTGTTTCCACAGACACAGCGCGGGCGGGTGGAAAACACGACAAGGATTCAAACGATCCCGGATTCTGGCGGAAAACATATATACGTGTGTGTGTGTGTGTGTGTGCGTTTGTGTGTGTGTGCGTGCGTGCGTGCGTGTGCGTGTGTGTGTGTGTGTGTGT